TCTCTCTCTCTCTCTCTCTCACACACACACACACACACACACACACACACACACACACACACACACACAGTGAAATTTAAAAAAACAAAACAATATAAGCCAATTTGGTTAAAAATATTAACAAAATAATTTTATAAAATTGAATATAATTTAATATAATATATTTGGAATTTTCACCCAGTACTTAATCAAATCTGATTTTTGGTCCTTTGTATTAAAAAGTTTGGGCATCTCTGGTATAAACGCTGCAATTAAAATGAAGAAACATCACAAACGAGGAAAGAGAACAAGACAGCTACAGGCCAACTGCATAAATTCAGTTTTATGAGAGGTTTCAGACCATAAACAAGAGGATTAATATCCAGAGAATATTCTGCTCTCAGCATTTAGTCTCGTGGCGTAAGAGGATAAATCAGATCTCAGCGTCTAAACACTGTAAATAAGCAGAGAAACACAGAATCCCTTTTTTCCATGTTAATGTGGCTTTCACATTAGTACAATCCCAGAGAGAGCGACTGCAGAAAGATCAGCGCTAACACATCACAATCGCAATGATTCAAGTCCATTTATCTAACCTACCGTCTGCTGGTTACTAACCCATATTCTGGTGAATGCATAGGAGAAAACAAATCAGTAATAACAGTACATCTATCATGCATTTATTCAAAAAACACTACTTTATCAAATGGGTCATTCTATGAAACGGGTGCTTTCCATTTCAAAAAGCTGATTTTTACAGCAAATTAAACAAAGTGTGTGTTAATTGCATGGCATTATCTCAAGCTAAATTAGTAAATGGTGGAATGTAACTATGGCACAACAGGATAAGTGGATGAGATTGCTAAAAATATCGATTTTTCAAAAATAATTCACTATATAAAAAAATGAGTCACAGGTTTGAGCACGTTAGATTGTATCCTTCTGCGAAAGCTATCACAATATAAAATATTGATTAAAGAGGAGACATATGCTGGTCCTTGGTAGAGAATAGCACAATATTTTAACCTGGAAACACAAACTCATTGCTGGAGTTATTATTTACATGTTAATGAGGGACACAAAGGCACCTGTTTTGTGGAATGACCCAGATGCACAAAACAGTAAAACTACAGTATAAAATCGCCAAACTGGTTTTAACATTGGGATGATTTTCAAACATACAAGATTTGGTCCATGTCCCACTCTGGTCCTGTAAATGCAGTGGGAAAAAAGCAAACAAACAAAAAATGTACAGATGTAAAATATATTTTTTTCACTTTAAGTTTTTGGGGTAAAATCTGACCCAGACATTTCTTTGTGAAATTCACCATTTACAATACAGAACATAAGAATGAACTAACTTTATGAACACGTCACTGAAAAACAAACGTGCACTAGAGAGGGATTCGCTCCCATTTCACTGGAACTGCTCAGGATATTCAATGCATTTCATTCTATCACAAAAATTGAAAAGATGAAAAAATATGGCATGCCGTAAAGTGCTGTAAAAGTGTTTTATACTAACAAGTATTCTGTTGATCTTACATTGAATTATGAGCACATTTCATAGCAGTGAGTGATTTCAGTGCTGGACATCTGTGGATTTATTATTAGTGGTTCTTTCGAAACATACCTGCACTGAGACTCTAGTCCAGACGTCCTTTCATTCATCCAGAAATTAATATTCAACTTTGTCAAAGTGGAGTTAATAGAAACAGTGCAAATCACAATGTCACAGCTTGAAGTGAATCTACATGTGTTTGTGTATATGCAACTGTTCTGATCTCCTTCCCAATTGTGAGTGCACATTATGTCATGACAGCCAAAATACCTGTTTAAAACCCGTTTTTCTTTGCTCCATTCAAGTCATTGAATGTTCTTCCAGGGAAGTCTCTCTCATACTTCCTACTTCCGTATGCGGGAGCGCTGTCTAGACAGTCTGTTCATGAAGCAGCACGTCACAGTGGCGATAATCAATATGCCCACAAACAGCGCCGACGACACGCCGATCACGAGAGGTAAGAGCAGCAGATCAGTGACTGTGGAGAAAATCAATTAAAACACGTCAATAATGAGTCTTTCAGTTCAACACCAGATCACGCATGCATGCTAGGGCTAAATGTATTTTCTGTAGTGAACTCAATAATTTTTCATGCTAAGAAAGCAAGAGTTTTCAAAATGGGGTTCACAAAAAATGAAGGAAAAAAGAATATATGAAATGCATTTTTAGTGCTTTCAAATTTATTGTGCACACATTGAAAAAGGACAAAAAAACAAATATTTATTTTGAAATAAAAATATATAAAATAATACAAAAAATATATTGTATTCTAAAATGTATGTGTGTGTGTGTGTGTGTGTGTACAGTATATA